CCGGACTTTCAGATCCGTTCCCGTGATCGGCCGCGTTCAGGAATGCGTTGCCAGGTTCCGCCGCGCAATCGGCGGAGAAGTAGAAGCCCACGCGAAAGCCAAGTCAGAGTCCGCGCAGGGGCAGAATAGAGGGACTCGTAATCGTAAGTTTTTTTCTTTTTCTTTTTTTAGGGTTTATTATGCACTTATAGGGCTTCTTTTAGGGAGTTTATGTAAATAAATTGTAAAGTGCGACATTTATTTATTTAGGGGTGGTTAATTCTGTATAATTTTCAAGTTACTTTTTGGTTACTGCTAAACGAACAAGCTTTTATTTCATGCCAATTTAGCTCTGCAACTATTATATATATATATATATGTTATATATATATATATATATCCATTTTTGCAATCTTAGATTAGCACTTAATTGAATTGAACTGAATTGAATTATATGTAGACACATAAAAATAAAAATAAAATAAAAAAATTCAGAAGTTGATGTCGTTTGCATTTGCAGCGTTCGATAAGATCCATAATAGAGTAAGTTACTTTAATGTTGTATGATTTACTTGGGTCGGTATGATCTAGACATTATGTAATTCGCGTTTTAGTTGATGATTATATTATCATTTATAGCATGTATGAGTGTAGCAATAAAATTTCAGATGTTCCTATTACACGCGCCATGAGATGCTCCTCGGTATGATCTAGACATTATGTAATTTGCTTTTTATTTGTATTTGACTCTAAGATGGAATTGCAAAATTCAAACAGATCACAAGGCAATAGAACCAAAAATTCATGGAGATTTAACCAAAAACCCAAAGAGTCGTGGTGAAGTGATTCGTATGGGACGTGCCAGTCTTGTGGATGATCCTGTTTGCGGTGCGGCCCAAGGTATGCTTTTCATTTTACCCTTTGTCTTTACTTTCAACGCCTGTGCATGGCTTCTATTTGGTTAGCAGTTTAATTGAGCCTGTAGTACTATCCTTGAAGTTCAATTCCGTTGCTACCAGATAAAATGTACCCCCACCCTAGAGTATGTATTTCAGTTGTAACTCTATGGGGTTTGTTGTCGTAACAGAGATTGAACTATTATTAAATGATTGATAACTTTGTTGTAAAATCCTCTCCCGCTCCCCCAGCAACAACCCTAGAGTATGTATTTCAGTTGTAAACATATGGGTATTATGTCGTTACAGAGATTAAACTATTATTAAATTGTTGAATTCTGTTTTATTTCTTGTAGATATTTGTTGTTGGCTGAGTATGTCTAGTCTACGTAGGCTACCCATTAACATTGCGATGACAATGAGTTGGCTGAGAGTTTGTGTACTTGGTTCAATAGTGTGACTATTTTTGTTGCTTATGAATGTCAATTTCCGAGTGTGATAATTATTTCATGAGATTTTGTAAACACCTCCGTCTACAATTTCTACCCCATATATATTGAGTTTTTTTTCTGTCAGTAAAATCTCCATTTCGTCTTTGCTTTTTGTTACCATGCAAGATTTTATTTTCTCAGCAAACTTTCTGCTTGTGGTACTATTTTAAAATTGAAAATATGCGCTTTAAAGTTTCATAGCGGAAATTCATTTTTTGTAATTTTCTTTCTTAGTTCTGGTAGACTGTCTTTACAGTTGTGTTGCCGCTAAACAGTTTTTTAGTGGAATATATTAAGCAGGTGGCATGGCTATGCTAAGCTTACTTATTTAAGCTTGAGAAAGCAAACGGTCCTTTAAATTAAATTTGTGAAATGAATGACTTATGTTACTCTACGATCAGCTGGTGTGTGTACCTTAATATCATGTTGTTCTGCCTTATCTTGTGTGTTGGGAATATGGGCCTTGATCTGATTTTTATTCTTTTTGTTTTTGGTTGTTAATAATGGCAGGAAGAAGGACTTCGAAGCAGAATTAGCAGCGGAAAAACTTAAATGTGGTCCTTGTGGAATTTGCGGAAAGGAGAAAGACCACTGGATTGATGATTGCCCTTACAAAGAACGTATCCCAAACCCTCTGGAGGTAACTGTTCTTGATGGTAGGTATGGAATAGTTTGCAAGTGTTGTGGTCAGCCTGGTGGGCATCCTGGTCGCCGGGGCTGGACTGGACGTGCTACTCTCAAGTTTTGTGGCCATTGTTTGGTATGGGGTGAGCACTGGTGTGCAGATTGCCCGTGCATTGGGCCCGATGAAGTTGCGAAATGGAGAAAAGACATTAAAAGGTTGAATGTTATTGTTTGATACAGGAACCCGAGAAAGAATTTCTGGACTTAGAACCATATTTTAGGGCCGTGCAAAGGAAGGATGAGGAAAATGAATATGATGCTTGAGGAAAGGAATGAGGGACATGGAGCCTGGGGAACTTGAGGAATCATAAACCGATGCTGCCGCTGCTATAGAAATTTGGAGGGCGCGACGCTTTCCTTTTTCAGGCTTTTAATTATTATGACTTAAATTAACGTTGAACACATGTAAGTGTCGTGTTAAATTACTGGTCTTGTTTGAAGTGCCATTACGTTTCTGTTAAGTATGAATGATATATGGGAGTCCATTTTACTGTCTATGAGGTTGGTTGGTTGTGGGAGAGCCCCAAAAGATACTGATATCGTTTTACCCTCTCCAAGCCTCTCAAGGGGTGTTTGTTTTCTTTCACTAAACTTCACTGGACTGGACTAATGGTTTGTCCATGTTTTCCTTCACTAAACTTCACTGAACTGGACTAATGGTTTGTCCAAAGTCTTGTGTTTGTACCCCGTAAGGTCTAGATTTAATGGGACTAACTCTCACTCGCCTCGACTAAAGCTGAAGGGATATATATACGAAGATTCGTCCTGTCCACATCTCTCATCCAGGAAACTCCATCATCTCAATTTTAGTTTGGGTGTCTAGAAAATTTCGAAAATTATCATTTTGCAGAGATCGCGATGCCCCATTTTGATGCAATCTCGAGGAAATGAGTTTTGTTTGTATTGATTTGAAACTAGTTAAGTTCGAAGTCAAATGATACAAGCTATATCAAATGAGAAAAATGACTCTCACCGGTGACTTAAAAATTGATTTAGTTATCCAAATGTTATCATACAAAAAGCAAATGCCAGTCCAATAAGTGACAATGTGCAACAGAATTATATATTCGTCAAAGTAATGATAACCACGTGATTTAGGATATTTATGGGCTGGAAATTCATCATCATACCGAGTACGAAGCCATCTTGATCAAAAGTTTTTGAAAGCGGTAGTATGCAAAAACCAAACCACAAATATTGGAAATTTATAGTCTATACTGGTGAAAATTAATAACATTTCCAATTGTATCCCAATTATTTTTCTTCTTGTTTCTCACTAACCAACCAGAGGGTTTCAAGCTAGAATTTTAGACTATTAAACAAAAAAGCAATGTTGGTTGAATGTGTGAATTAGAAGACCTAAATGCTAAAAAAGAAAAAGGAAACAAAAGATCAAACCAAAATCAAGGGTCTCTACGTAAGGCAAAACCTTTGGCTTTCTATTGCATATTAAATACCTCTACTTCTTTTGCTACTGTTTAGGGTTGAATATCATGTCTTTTGTCTCCCCCTCCCCCAATAACAACCGTAGAGTATGTATTTCAGTTGTAAAATCCTCTCCCCCTCCCCCAATAACAAACGTGTAAGCAGCTGCAATCTCTGCAGCTTTCAACTTTGGAGAACTTCCTGCAACTCTAAGTTTGTATGGTCCAAAATGAAGGGGGTCCAGAACCCTTCCAACCATTCCTTTGATTACAATTATCACATAAAGATGTAAAGTTAATAAGTTCTGCCAAATTGATCACATATGAGACTTTGAACGAAAGATAGTTGAAAGTGATTTAAAAACACAATGAAATATACATTAAACAACAAATCTACTTTATGTAAGTACAAACAAAAAGGGGCTCGTGCAAGATATTAACCTTGTTGGGCATGGTTCAACTACTTGCAACCACTTCTTTTTGTGTTTATAGGGGTTTGTGGACTCTGGAAAATGAAATGTAAATAAGGCTTCCTAAAGAGTTTCGATACTACAATACTAGGGGAAGGTAGCAAAGCTTATAAAATTGACAAAAAATGGCTTTCTATGGGGGATATACGACTAAAAAGGGCATGGTTTGGTCAAAATGCAGCTTTTTGGTTTCTTGCTTGTTTGAGAACAAAGTTTAGATGTCTTTTGATTTATTGATTGAGTGTCATTTTCTCTGGTATCCCTTGCTGCTTTTATAGATGTTTTAGCCCGACTGTCCAAACTTTGCCTTTTGCTGATGTCATGTGGAGGATGGTGAGTCACCACTTATTTACTCATTCATGCCCTTGAAAAATATATTTTTTTTTGCTGGGGTGAGCTGCCCTCTATCGTCCATCACTTCTAACATAGACATATGGTGTATGCCTTGCTTAAATGATTTTTAAATTCTTCCTGGGCCTTTGACATTGTTTGAGCTCAATCTCTCTCTTGCTTTTGTGTTCATGGACTTTTATCCCCACTAAGCCCAATAATAATTATCCACCCAAACACAACCTCTTATCTATATTGCTTCAATTTCTGCAAGGCGGTTGACGACTTTGATCATGCTTCCTACACACTGGCGAGAGAGTTGGAGAAGCAGGGTTATGGTTTTTGGTTGAGAGCAAACATGAATCAGAGAAGAAGCAGTGGATTGAGAATGGTGGGGGAGAGAGTTTCACTGCGAAAGAGAGAGAGGAGTTTGAGATAGGTAACCGCAGTAATGTTGTTGCAAAGAGAGATAAAAGGTAGGAACTGGGAAGTGTCTATGGAATGGGATTCCACGTGTCAAAGAATGTGCTGCAAGTGACAACAAGACAAACGGGGCAAGATTTAAAATAATAAAAGATAAGTAAGGGCAGAATTGGAAGCAAACTGTTCAATGAACGGTGTTTTAGGCTATTTTGAGTTTTTTTTTTTTTTTTTCGCCCAAAAGCTATTTTCAGTTTGAGTATACATATAAATACAAATTTCTGTATTTTAATGCCCTTTCGAATTCTGGGTTTATTCCGAGTACCCATCCGAATTCATATATATCTCGCTTGAGAACCTCCCAAAAGCTGGGTCACCCGTCAGGCCCACACTGAATTGTGTTGCTCGGAGCCGTCAGATCGGTAGACTCAAAACGATCTAACGGCTATTATTCCATTCTGTAAACGCATGTACTGGAAAATTGGTGCTGTTGCTCGAGAACGCCCAGAAGAGTTATCCATCTGTTATCACACAAAAACGAGCCATAGCAAAGGTTGCTCGAGAACGCCCAGAAGAGTTATCCATCTGTTATCACACAAAAACGAGCCATAGCAAAGGTTTCTCGGTCTCTCTCACTCGCAGAGAGCCATGATCCGCCGGACTTTCAGATCCGCTCCCGTGATCGGCCGCGTTCAGGAATGCGTTGCCATGTTCCGCCGCGCAATCGGCGGAGAAGCAGAAGCCCACGCGAAAGCCAAGTCAGAATGGGCGCAGGGGCAGAATAGAGGAACTCGTAATCGTAAGTTTTTTTCTTTTTTTAGGGTTTATTACGCACTTATAGGGCTTGTTTTAGGGAGTTTATGTAAATAAATTGTAAAGTGCTACAGTTATTTATTTAGGTGTGGTTAATTCTGTATAATTTTCAAGTTACTTTTTGGTAAACGAACAAGCTTTGATTTCATGCCAATTTAGCTCTGCATCTGTCATATATATATATATATATATATCCATTTTTGCAATCTTAGATTAGCACTGAATTGAATTGAACTGAATTGAATTATATGTAGAAACATAAAAAAATAAAAAATAAATAAAATTCAGAAGTTGATGTCGTTTGTATTTGCAGCGTTCGATGAGATCGATAATAAAGTAAGTTACTTTAATGTTGTATGATTTACTTGGGTCCGTATGATCTAGACATTATGTAATTCGCGTTTTAGTTGATGATTATATTATCATTTATAGCGTGTATGAGTGTAGCAATAAAATAAAATTTCAGATGTTCCTATTACACTGGTCTTGAGATGCTCCTTGGTATGATCTAGACATTATGTAATTCGCGTTTTATTTGTATTTGACTCTAAGATGGAATTGCAAAATTCAAACAGATCACAAGGCAATAGAACCAAAAACTCATGGAGATGTAACCAAAAAACCAGAGAGTCGTGGTGAAGTGATTCGTATGGGACGTGCCAGTCTTGTGGATGATCCTGTTTGCGGTGCGGCCCAAGGTATGCTTTTCATTTTACCCTTTGTCTTTACTTTCAACGCCTGTGCATGGCTTCTATTTGGCATGGCTATGCTAAGCTTACTTATTTAAGCTTGAGAAAGCAAACGGTCCTTTAAATTAAATTTGTGAATGAATTACTTATGTTACTCTACGATCAGCTGGTGTGTGTACCTTAATATCATGTTGTTCTGCTTTATCTTGTGTGTTGGGAATATGGGCCTTGATGTGATTTTTATTCTTTTTGTTTTTGGTTGTTAATAATGGCAGGAAAGAAGGACTTCGAAGCAGAATTAGCAGCGGAAAAACTTGAATGTGGTCCTTGTGGAATTTGCGGAAAGGAGAAAGACCACTGGCTTGATGATTGCCCTTACAAAGAACGTATCCCAAACCCTCTGGAGGTAACTGTTCTTGATGGTAGGTATGGAATGGTTTGCAAGTGTTGTGGTCGGCCTGGTGGGCATCCTGGTCGCCGAGGCTGGACTTGTGATGCTATTCTCAAGTTTTGTAGCCATTGTTTGGTATGGGGTGAGCACTGGACTGCAGATTGCCCGCGCATTGGGCCTGATGAAGTTGCGAAATGGAGAAAAGACATTAAAGAGGATGAATGTTATTGTTTGATACAGGAACCCGAGAAAGAATTTCTGGACTTAGAACCATATTTTAGGGCCGTGCAAAGGAAGGATGAGGAAAATGAATATGATGCTTGAGGAAAGGAATGAGGGACATGGAGCCTGGGGAACTTGAGGAATCATAAACCGACGCTGCCGCTGCTATAGAAATTTGGAGGGCGCGACGCTTTCCTTTTTCAGGCTTTTAATTATTATGACTTAAAAATTGATTTAGTTATCCAAATGTTATCATACAAAAAGCAAATGGCAGTCCAATAAGTCAAAATGTGCAACAAAATTATATATTCGCCAAACAAGTAATGATTAACCGCGTGATTTAGGATATATATCGACTGGAAATTCATCATCATACTGAGTGCGAAGCCATCTTGATCAAAAGTTTTTAAAAGCGGCAGTATGCAAAACCAGAACCAAACCACAAATATTGGAAATTTATAGTCTATTTTCAAAACACAAGACAACAAATTTCCAAACATTTCCAACTGTATGCCAATTCTTTTTCTTCTTGTTTCTCACTAACCAACAAGAGGATTTCAAGCTAGAATTTTAGACTATTAAACAAAAAGGAAACAAAAGATCAAACTAAAATCAAGGGTCTCTACATAAGGCAACAACCTTTGGCTTTCTATTGCATATTAAATAACTCTACTTCTTTTGCTACTGTTTAGGTCCAACATCGTGTCTTTTATCTCGCAAAGCCACACCTTTTTTATTTTCTGCTGAGAAAATTTCTAAGGTGAACCTGCTAATGCATGATGATGGGACGGTGAAAATCAACTTACAGGATATTTTGCCCTCCTTGGCTCACAAATTCCCTAAATCCAAGGATCAGCCAACTTCTTAGCAAATATCCTTGCATAAAGGAGACTCTGGGTTACCCCTGACTTCTAGCAATGTAAATCATTTCTTACAATGAAAGATTCCAAAGCCTTTCAGTGTTTGTTCATCAATGAATTTCTATATTCATCTAAATGGACAACAAGCAGACATAATCTATTCTATAATCAAGTGGTTATAATGAGTACTTACCTTAACATTAAGTATTCGTACATTCACAAATATCAAACATGAGCTTAATTTCAACACAAATGCATAATTTCATATTGAGAAATACTTCCCCACACCTCCCAGTGTATAAGAATTTTAGACTACCAGCCTCAAATTAAAACCACAAAACACACTTGGGTGGATCAACTAATTAAAACCAAATGTATTTTAACTAATTACTACCAGCCTCTACGAAGCAATGGATGACTTTATTGTTGGAAATTAAATATAACAAATACAATGGAAAAGATTGAAATTGGAAAAGAATAACAAAGAGAAAAACTTATAAAACATACGTAGATATCGTAATTGGACTGTAGAAAGGAGCAATTTCCGCTGCTAAAGGAAGCACGTTGGTCAATTATCAACTCAAAAACATTTCATTAACGACGCGTATGAATTAAGACCACCACCACTCCAAGGTCTACTTCAGAATATGCAAAGCATTTGATTAAATCATATTCCATTGAAAGCTCTTTAACTTAAGCCTCAATCAAAAGCATTGTCTGTGAGCCAGTAATTCCTATAACATGCAAATCAATGTTAAACTCTTCCTTGAGGGTAGCTATGCAAAGATTTGAAAAATTAAATTTAAACTCCAAAATGTCATAAATATTTTCAATGACAGATGACCTTACACATATTATACAAAAGCCTTATAATAACAGAAGAAAAAGTGAAATTAAGTACCTGGTCCCTCAATTGATCCAATAATGTGACACCAATCAGAGCAGGTCGGATATTGCCCACTGCTATTGCGGTTCTTGAAAGATATAATGAGCCCTAATACAATCCTCCCGCTTTATCACTTCAGTAATTTTGTACTCAGTACAACCATGGGCAATTGCACACACATTAATGTTTGCCTGCATTCATAAAACAGATTAGATCCCTTCGTATTGTAAATAATGGATTCTGAGAAACGCGTAGAATCAAAGTCAACAGTAGCCCGTATTGTAAACCAGTGTATAAACCATGAAATGTTAAATCAAATAAAATAATCCAACTTGTTGCCAAACCTTTGCCAGTGCATTGAAAAGAGTTGCACTAACTCTTGGAGTACAGGCAATTTTTTGGCCAACTGCTGCCAAAATACTACAGTTTGGAATCACTTGAACCTGAGAGGGAAGCGGTGCTAGAAATTGGTATTAAAAGATGAACACAAAGATACATTCAAACATATGTACAATAAAATAAAAAAATAGCGTGCAGTAAAAATTTCAATGTGGGAATCAGCTAACTAATCAGTATTCACATGGAATAAAACATTCATTCACATTAAAATTCATGCCACCATTTTCAACTCTCCTTATAATTCTTTAACCGATCCACAAAATATGGGTCCAATAAGGTCTTTCACAAGTAAACAATAAACTAATTGTCAGTACATTATCCTTGATCTGCTTAATTTACATATCGAGCAACCTGGTCAAGAAAATTAGTCAAATGAAAAGCAAGCACCTAAGAAAGACGCCCAGCATTCAAAATCTCACGAAATCTAGACTGCAGTAACTCAGACACAGCATTTACTTCCTTCAGCATATAACATGAACACAAATTCAGAGGATGACATAACCTGAGATATCATAATAACATTAGCCCCAACATCCTTTACGGCACTGAATATATCACTGGCTGCACCAGGAACACCAGCCAGTCCAGTTCTGTGAATGAAAGAGAATGTTACAAACAGAGGGAAAGTAAATTTTAAATTATAATCCAGCAACAACCACTGCAATGCACATCTCACCCTTAAATCATGACAGAGGCCAAGTTTAAATTATGGCAAATGCTTTAAGAAACGACTCCAAACCTTGAGTAGTTTCATCCTCATTAGGGCAACAGAGTTTCCACGTCCCGCAAGGTCAACATTATTCCTTATTATAATGGGAAAAAGTGCACAACCAAACCAAAAGTACAACTTGACAATAAATTCATAGTTTAGAATAGTTTTAAATGGCAGCAATACATTATGTTACAGTACCAGTAAATTAAATCACAAACACGTCTAGCAAAAATTAACAAAGCACAATTTTAAGTCTGTTTCACAAAACCCCTACCTCCCTGCCTAGAAGAATCAGATGACTGCCTACAATATCTCAATCAGAGGATCTTAGTAAATCTCCTATTACTTGAATGTTGTTTTTCGAGGAACTTAAGTTCAGTATTATTTACAAATTTTTCTATCATATAATACCATTTTTAATTTGTTCATAAAAAGTTAAAAACTGATATGAAATTGATAAAATTTACATTTCTTCAATTTTGTATGATCTAGTTAACATAGACTGATTTGATCTATAACTTCTCTTTGATGTGATGAAATTTGCGTTTTTGTCGAGTATTTTGCAAAACCCCTACCTCCCTGCCTACAACTATCAAAGGCCACCTACAACCTCATTTCTCTTGTCTCAATCAAAGAATCTCAGTAATTTCATTTTACTTGTTTTTTGGTGCAAATTAAATTCAATATCATTTACAAAGTTATTTGTCATATATTACCAATTTTAAATTGTTCATAGAAAGTTAAAAACTAATTTGGAAATTGACAAAATATAGATATCTTCAATGTTGTATGATTTAGTTAACATAGACTGATTTGATGTGTTTTAACTTATCTTTAATGTTACGAAATTTGAGTTTTTGTTGAGCATTTGCATAGTTGTTTCAATAGTCTGCTTATTTTCTCTGTTACATATGTCCGATATTATGTTTTACAAAGAATTACAAAGAAACGACCATAATTGTAATAAAGCTTGATATCGGTAATATTCTTGTTGGGTCGGATTCGAGGAGGACACAATGTGATGAATTGAATACTTATATAAGTAAGGGTTTTCTTTAACCCTCTTTTCTATTATATTAAATTAGAAACAGTGCTACAAAACCCTTACCTATATAAGTATTCAATTTATCATATCATGTCCTACTAGAATCAGACCCAACAAGAATATCACCGTTACAATTATAGTCGTTTCTTTGTAATTCTTTGTAAAAGATAATATTGGACATATGCAACAAAAAAAATAAACAGACTATTGGACCAATTATGCAAATACTCAACAAAAACTTAAAGTTCGTAACATGAAAGATAAGTTAAAACACATCAAATCATTATATATTAACTAAATCATATAACATTAAAGATATCTACATTTCGTCGATTTCCAAATCAGTTTTTAACTTTATATAAATAATTTAAAATTAGTAATATATGAAAAATAACTTTGTAAATGATATTCAGTTTAATTTGCACCAAAAAACAAGTAAAATAAGATTACTGAGATCCTCTGATTGAGACAAGAGAAATGAGGTTGTAGGCGGCCCTCTGATAGATGTAGGCAAGGAGGTAAGGGTTCTGCAAAATACTCAACAAAAATGCAAATTTCATAACATCAAAGAGAAGTTATAGCAAGTTAAATCAGTCTATTAACTAGATCATACAAAATTAAAGAAACGTAAATTTTATCAATTTTATATATTAATTTTAAACTTTCTATAAACAAATTAAAAATGGTATTATATGATAGATAAATTTGTAAATAATATTGAGCTTCAGTTCCACAAAAAGTAACATTTATCATCTGATTGAGACATGAGAGATTGTAGATGACCCTCTGATTGAGGTTGTAGGCGATCATCTGATTGTTATAGGCAAGGAGGTTGGGGTTCTGCTTCTCCAACAGTAAATGGCCGGCAGAGCATTGCAGCATAGCGGAGGCCACTGATCAAGGGACGGGAAGAGCGGCGCAACATGGAGATGATGGGGAGTTTAGGCGAGTTTTAGAGTCTGAGAAAATATATGTAGGATTTTGCCTAAACCTAGAGAGATGTTTTAAATAGGAAAGAAAAAGAATAAGCGGACCTGACTGATGGACGATCCGAAATGGTGGTCGGGGCTGACTGTTCCTCAATACACATACTTGTTGATGCTAGGGCCAATTAGTTGGGTTTTAATCAAAGACACAGGTTATTGAAAAACTAAAAGATGGTGAATTGAAGATTTTACGAATAACAATAGATATATTAATAAAAATCAAATAATAATACGATTCGATTCAGGAATTTGTATCTGTACTTCCAATTTTTTAAAACCAGTTTCAATGCACCAAAAAAAAATCATAAAATCTATGAATACATGAATTTGAAAACAGAAAATGAAAAAAACAAAAGCTAAAAACTTGTTTTTATGGGGTAGAGAAACGGACAGATCCCTAATAAATACCATTAAGCCGACGGCTCTGCCTGTAAGTGGGCCTCGTCAGACATTTATTGGGTAGGTCACATTTATTGTGCGTAAGTTGGCCTCGTCAGACATTTATTGGGTAGGTCACATTTATTGTGTGGGTCACATTTATTGTGTAAGTGGGCCTCGTCAGACATTTATTGGGTAGGTCACATTTATTGTGTATTGTGCGTAAGTGGAGCTCTGTGGGTCACAATTATTGCCCGTCTCATATGCCACACCTTTAATTTATTTCCTTGCGGATAAATGACAATATTTGGGAACTCACCGGGAAGTACCCAGTATACTGACTTGAATACGTGGAACAACTAGATAACAGCACCCGCCCATCTCAAATCTGCTTTAACACATAACCAATCGGCCTCTTATCCTTCTTGCCAAACACATTCTAGTCTGCCATCCAAACACGTCTTCTCTCTCACCAAATTACTACCAGTCTTCCATGAGATACATGATTCATCCCATTATCCCAAGCCACCGTCCTCTCCCACCACCACCACCAAGCCCACCCACCCTGCTCCCACTGGTGACTCCACAAATTGAATTGGAACTCGTAAGAAAAATTGGAACTTCTTGAGCGCATTCCAATTTTCAAATGCAATGTTCGTTATAAACATTTTAGAATGGAGGTCTTGGAAGATCTTTTGACTAAGAGTAAAAAAATGGAGTATACTTCTTTTTTTAACTATGTTGGGTTCATTTGGATGTACTTTTAAAATAACTGAAAGCGTTTTTAGAGAAAATATTTTTGGATTTCAAAAGCACTTTACATGCTTTCTACAAGAAGCACTAGTTATGTGTTTCTTCTAGAAAGCACTTGGAAGTGTTTTTTTTCATGATTTACTAACATTTTTACTAAGGATTGTTTCTAAAAATATTTTCACCAAAAACGCTTTCAATCATTTTAAAAGCACATTCAAACAAGCCCTACACTAAGAGAAAAGAGGTAGGCAAAGACCATCTCCAACCAAATAGGCTAAAACTCTCCAATCACAATATAACCCTACACCAATATATTATAATTTGGATTTGCCTAATCATTGGAATGCATGAACGTCCAGTAAGTTCCATGAAAATATTTATACAAATCTACTATCAGTAAAGATTATCTTTTAATCAGCAAAACAATTCATTCCGAAGAAAAAATGTCCAAGAATCATGGCCGAGCAGAGAGACCGGTCAAAACACCCATAGAGTATTTAAACAATTCATTGTTACGCAGACATTTTATAGGAGATGGACTAAATCAAGTCACACAGTGTACTATGTGTGTGTTTAAATACACGATAATTGTAAAAATATATAAAATAAAATTAGAAAAGAGAAAAGTGGAAAGTGGGAGAGAGAGTGAAGTAAAATTATGGTTACACTAGCCTCCACTTACGACGTTTTACTCATCACTTGTACAATTTAAATGTATTTATCTACGTGGATTTGAGAAGTGAATTAAGCGTTAAAAGAGTGAATGTAACCTTATCATATTTAGCTTCAATACTACTGCATTTTGTCAAGGACAATGGTCCCCGCTTGGGAAGATCCAGAAAATGGTTTGGTTGACTCATTTCAAAACGAACAAATTTAAATAGGCATTTCAGGAAAGACATAGGGTAACACGATTGGATCTTTGTACCTTGTAAAATCTTCATGCATATGTTGTTTGCTTCTTTTTACAATTTTGATAATAATCTGCATTGCACATACACAAAGATGATCACAAACAGGTAGCGTAGGACCATATGTCTGGAGCTGCATTGAATCAAATAAAGGCTATGCATCAGAGCCTGCTATATCACTTTCAAAACAGCCTTGCATGTAAGAACAAATTATACCCGTTTGTAAGTGCAACTGTTCAAATAATTTACTTGTTGAAAATTTTAGTGTACCTTGATTTTCTCGGGAACCACACACGCCACCAGCAATGGGACTAAAAATCGGAATGTGCATTTTCAAATTGAAGAAAAAATTTCCGGGAAGAGAGAAAGAAAGGGATAGAGCAGTACACACCTGAGAATGCGGCCTGATTGCCCTTTTTTTCAAAAGTAGTCAAAACCTGAAAGCAATCAAGTCTGATCAATGCCAAAACAGAAACGACAATCAGCTAGCAGAAGCTATCCAGCAACAGGCATATCCAAACAGATACCATTCATGTTTCTGTAGATGATCAGTGCCAAAATTCTCTCACTCAAAAGCACTTCTATAGTAAACGAAAGTCATAGAGTTGAGGACTCAATCTATGCTGAGGACTCAATCTATGCTGGACTGCTGTCTGCAGCGGTGGCGGCATTTCCGTTTATTTTGTTTAGGACTTGGGAGGAGAGTCCATTGGTAGATGGAGATGGTTTAACCTCTGGAATTCCAGAATCTGTCACAGTAACTCCCCTGTTTTTCCTCTTCCTGCACAAAACCAATAGGTCCAATACAGATAAGGAGAGTTAGTATTAGCAAAACTAAATGCGAGAAAGAATTATATAATACTGAAACTGATAAGAATGCATGTAAGCATGCAGACATTACTTGGGTGAAACTCAAGACATTCAATTATCACTTCGGAATATCCTTGACAAAGAGTACATATTTGGCAAACTGCTGAACATTTAATTGCCAGGCAGTAAGAAGAGGTATGAGAAGCGGGAGGACATGCTCTGCAACAAATTCTCACTTGGCGAGTTTTCAAACCAAAACAAAAATATACCCAAACACAGAAATCTCTGTTTACAATCCCTTCTACTTTGCTTCCTGCTATCCCTGAGTCCCCACCCTCTATATTCATTGTTCCACTTCTAAACTCCTGTTAAATTATCCGCATCTAAACCCCATCAAACCTTTTTTCTCACTCTTGAAAATCCAAACCACCACTTAAAATATACAAAATCACAATTAACTAAAGATTACAATACACTATATCACACTCAGAACCAAAATGTACTAAAACTAAAGATGAACTCAAAATCCTAAATAAATGTAAAACTTTGATCTACAAAACCAAATTACATTTTTGAGCAAAAAAAAAAAAAAATAGGACAAACCAAACAATATAGAAATACAGCTATTAAATTAAGCTTGATTTACATTATAGAAAGTCCATTCAAACAACTAAAAGGACATAAATGAAAATATTGAGAAAGTCACCTCTTTAAAACACCACCAGTTCCACTCTTCTAACGTTTTTAGTTTAACAAAATCAAATTAACCTGAAATTAAAATAAACCTCATTAATTAAATCAACCTACAGAAAACAAATTCACACTCATACATGTATAACGCAATACACACATGTACAATATATATAATTGAATGAGATACCTTGATGGCTTGTGTATTTGCAACCGTGCCTGGAGAAGAATATCACACAAAAAGGATTTTAATGATTTAATTAGTAGAACTATGTCACTGACAGTATGAATTGATAAATTAGATATACTGACACATCAATAATGATTTTAGTATTTGCAAAGTGTGCATAAGCTAATCTTGAAGCAGAATTTGTGGCATTAGTCTAAAAACCTGTAAATTGGCAACAATTTGTTCCTCACCAAAAGGATCCGGAGAGGATCCTGTTGGGAAATAGACAATCAAAGGTGGCTTGTGACAATATGTCAACATGTCATGTCGTTTTAAGGATTGCATGCCTATTACTTTGGAGTAATAGTTCATGGACAAAGGGACTTTAAGGTTGTAAATCATTATGTCAAATAAGCATGAGGATTATGTACTCCTTTGACACCTTTTGTATTTGGTTGATCTCAATAATTAAACACCCGATCCCTTATGTAAAAAATAAATAAAGAAAAAAGAGATGTCAAACGGTCCCGTCATGAAACATGTCCACAATAACCGTAAAATGTCTTTAAACAAAACGTCAATTCTGATATAGCATGATGTGAAAAAAGCATACATTGCAACAGCCATGAAGAAAAATACCAGTTGGCAAGGCTCCCCTTAGTCTAGCATGAGGATTATGTACTCCCTTGACACCTTTTGTATTTGGTTGATCTCAATAATTAAACACTCTATCCCTTGTGTAAAAAATAAATAAAGAAAAAAGAGATGTCAAACGGTCCCGTCATGAAACATGTCCACAATAACCGTAAAATTTCTTTACACAAAACGTCAATTCTGATATAGCATGATGTGAAAAAAGCATACATTGCAACAGCCATGAAGACAAACACCAGTTGGCAAGGCTCCCCTTAGTCTAGCAAGCGCCTGATCTGCAGGTCCACAAAACCGTATACCAACAGTTTGCAACCTATTTACAACAGCTTGCGGTAAATTAAGTTCCTGTAAAAGAAAATAATTATTAAGAAATAAATAATCTAATTCTGACTGACAATATACTCAAAATATAATGACTTTCACATCATTATTTCACAATTGAGTTAACAAAACTCTTTTTGTGCTAGTTTAACTGTACGACAACATAGCTACCAAACCATTTGAACCCTTCATTTCTATTATTAATTAAAGGATTTGTTCCTACTTTCTCTTCTTGAATTTCTATGGTGGAGATAGTCACATGTAATGACAGAAAAAAAAATTTAAAGAAAAAAAAAAAACACACTGTTAGATGAATCAAAAATGCAAAGAATTCTCTTCGAACATCAAGAAGTCACTTGAAATAGTTTTTTTTTCTTTCACAAAAACAATAACTGGGTTTATGAACTTTGGTTGGAGCCTTCACATAACCTAAATGAAACTGATGGATAAGATCTGTACACCTAGAGACAGCTGTAAACAAAACATGAAAAAATGAGCAAAAAATAGAGAGGCAGCAGCTCCCAAGCACAAAGGCAAGAGGGAAAAGCTGAGAAGACCCGTAAGTATACCATGATCAAGCTTTAAACCTCTCACCTAGCTAAGCCCTGAAAAACTCAAAGCAAGGAAGGACATGAAAGGGCATCAAAAACCATTTCATGTCTGATAATTGTAGTCATACATGTTGCAATGATGTTACACCACTTATAAGATCACAACGATTCAATTTTCATACCATAAAAAACACAATTCTCACAATATTAAATAAGATATTCTTACAAAAAAGACAAATAAAAAATAAAAAATAAACGAAGTTATTTACGTTGACTACAAATGGTTTCAAAGCTACAGACAGAAGCCCCAAAAAAAGAAGAACAAATTGTCCTGAAACAAAGCACATAGCCAAATCATATAACCAAGCAACAGATCTAAGCATATAAGATCACAAAGATTTAATTTTCACGCTATAGAAAACACAACTCTCACAATATTAAATAAAAAAAATCTTACAAAAAAGGCTAAAACGAAATTATTTACCTTGAGTATAAATGGCTTCAAAGCTACACACAGAAGCCCCAAAAAACGAAGAACAAATTGTCCTGAACAAAGCACACAGCCAAATCATATAACCAAGCAACGGATCTAAGGATATAAACAAAAAAGACAATCAGAAAAACGAAATTGAAATAAAACATAGAACAATCTAAACCCTAAGAAAACCAAAACCCCATAAACAAAAAATTAAAAAAAAATCATTAAAAAAGCAGATCCAATAACATCAAACGCAGCCGGATCATAACAAAAACCGAGCAGCAAAACCTCCCAAAATGCCCAAACAAACAAATCATGGCATAAATTAATGAAAGAAAATCAAATACATTACCGTTAGCAGGTCGTTCATTGTCGAGGGCAGCTGAAAAATGCAACCAGAAAAGAAGAAATCACGAAGGAAGCAGAGATGGAAGAGATCACGAAGCAAAGACTGAAGAAAGCGAAGCAGAGATCGAAGAGAGCAGAAATGGAAGAGAGATGGCGAAGCTGAGTGCTTAAATTTCTGGGGTTCAGACTGATCGGCGCGAGTAGAGAGATGAGATCAGAAAGAGAGAAAAATTAGGGTTTGAGAGATAAACAAACCTAAGACTATCTCCAACGACTTAAAACCTAAAATTTCCCTTTTTTTCCCCTCCAAAATCTACTCCAACCAATGACCTAAAATTAACCTAAAACCTAAAACTTATTTTGAGGTCAAATACCAGCCCAATTTTAGGTCACAAAGCAAAATGGTCCCACCCACTGAGACTGAAACAAGGGTTGTGAAGCACACTGCCCAGCTCCCACGCGCCAAACAACCCACAATTCATCTGAGACTGACACAAGTTGGCCCACCCACGTGGGGGTTGGCCCACCCACGTGGGGTTGTTCCCCAGGTGTCAGCCCACTGTGTAGCCCAACGGCTACTTTTGCAACAATCCAACGGCTGGATTTAATGGACCGTTGGTTAATCCAACGGTCCAGGTTCACTTTTTTTTTTTTTAGTTTTATATTTATGTATTTATTGAATCCAACGGCTTAGATCAAATATAATTAAATATAACGGTAAAAAAAAAGATCTAACGGTCCAAATTTAAATCCAACGGCTAGAATAATTTTAAAAAATTATTTAACTTAAAATTCAACCAAAAACTCTATAAATACCTATGTATTTGTTCAAACATCCACACAAAACTCACTTTTCTCCTACAATTCTTCCAATTTTTCTTTATACCATTTATTCTCATTTCTAGAATTTTCAAGATGGCAAAAGAGCATGTTAGAGGTCGTAATTGGACCTTTGACGAAGATATTGCTTTATGTTTGGCATGAATTTCAATTAGCGAAGATGGTGCCGTCGGCACCAATCAAAATAAAAAGGTTTTATGGGGTAAAATCGTTGATAAGTTCCATGAAAACTCCAACGCTGGTCGAAGGGAAGTTGGTGGTGTTTATGATCGGTGGAAGATTATCAACAAAGCGTGCACTTTATGGAAAGGAAGCTTGGAGAGAGTCATGGTTGACATGCCTAGTGGAAAGGGCGCCTCAGAAATTGTGAGTTTATTTGTTGATATTTTAGTTGTCATGTACATAATAGTATTTTGCAACTAATTGTTTTTATGTATTTGTTGCATAGGGTGACAAAGCAATGGCAATTTACAAGACAAGAACTACACCAAAAAATCAAGCTTTTAAGTTGCATCATGCTTGGAACATCCTTAAGGATTGTCCGAGGTGGGGAACCGATGCGAACCAACCATGTGGAAGATTATTTCATAATGAAGCCCCACCCCCAAATGATGTCAATGAAGGTGTGAATTTTGCCGACAATGAAGGTGTCGAACAAATGACCCCAACTTCTTCTTTTGCAAGGCTCCCGGGTAAAGATAAGCAAAAGGAAGCAAAGAGAAAAGGGAAGTCCCAAGATCCGACACATGCACAATTTGCTAGCGAAATGGCAATAATGAACGAAATCCAGTGCCGTCGGCAAGAAGAATCGGCCCAAATGCTTTTGGCCATGAAGGAACAAGGGGATAGGGAGCAAGAAAGGTACGAAACAAATTTGATAATGGAGGACCTCGACAAATACACTCCAGAGAGGAAGAGATACTTACGTGGTAAGCAAAAGGAAATTTTACGAAGGAATGCCAAAAGGAGTATATTTCAAGATGATGATTCATCTCAAGACTATCACCCAAGTCCATCACCAAGTCAAGATGGTGAATATCATTATTAAGTTTATGTAGTCTATGAGTTTTCGATTGTATTAAGTTTATGTAGTTTATTAATTGTTTTTTTTTATTTTTTAAGTTTATGTGGTTTATTAATTGTCTTTTTTATTTTTTAAGTTTATGTGGTTTATTAAATGTCGTTGGTATTAAGTTTATGTGGTTTATCTTGATTTTCATGTATTGATTTAGTGATTTTTCAAAATTTATCGGAATTTAAATATTTTTAGGTTAAAATGTTCATAAAATTAATTTAGGATAGTCTACATAATTTTTTTTTTTAAAAAGTTAATTTAAAAAAAAATAGCCTTAATTCATTCTTTGATAATCTGGGGCTAAAATTTTAAGTCAGAATGGTTGGAGTAGAAAAGCTGTTTCTAGGCTAAAACCTAAATTTTCTGGGCTAAATATTTTTAGGTTTTAGGTCACCATTGGAGATAAGAATGAAACGGACAAGATTGTCTGTCCTTCCCTTCGGTGCCCTTCCGTGATCTCTGTTTTGTTTTGTGGCACGTTAACATTTTATAGTATATTTTTGTAAAAGTAATAAGACAAAAATAAATAGTAATATTAATGTGTTGTAATCACACAAATAGAAAGATATTGAAAGTGAAGGGCAAACAATCCTTGTCCGAGTGAAACTGGGTCGAGAGGTGTGGAATGAGCATTATTAAAAAATAAAATAAAATTACAAAATTACCCTTGAATTATCTTATGCATTCATTTTTGCTGATTTGATTTTTTGTGATGTAGGAGCATTTTGGTCCAATTATTTTGTCGAAGTGGGTGATATTAAGGCCTAGTTTGTTATTGAATTGATTCTGATAAATGTTGGTATCAAAAAAAACTGGAAGTTGTTTTTGTGTTTGGTAAACATTCAGTTTCAACTTTTTTTCACAGTTTTGGGTGAAAAAAAAAAAACCAAAAACAAGAAGCTGCAAAACCCAGCTTTGAAAAACCGGTTTTTTTTTCACATCTATTTTACATAAAAGTTTACCAAACACTATAATATTGCTTTTTTTTTTCAAAAGCACTTTTACAAAAAAAGTTTATCAAACACTCTGCTGCTTTATTTCACAGCTATTTATTCTCACAGTACAGCAGAAGCAGTTTTTTTTCAAATCACAACAATACCAAATCAGCCTTAAACTAGACCTCTGGCTTTATGCATAAAAGATGCAGGTGTGAATGACTAAAAGAGACGGCAAAAATTATAGTCCCATGGTTAAATTATGGTTACATGTAGCTGTAAATGAAGAACAGATCGGTACCGCTTCCAAAAAAAAAAAAAAAAGATCAGTACCAAAAACAGGGGAAGAAGACAAAGGAAAAAGAATAAAAAAGAAAGAATATAGCATCTTTAAATTATAATAGGAGAAAGATTGGCTACTAAAAAAATTAGCAACAGCTTCTATTGTTAATGAATTACGAGTGGACACGTGTTCAAGTTATGATTAAAAAATTAATTACTTGAACACGTGTACACCCGTGATTCGCTAGCAGCAGGAGCTGCTGCTAATTTTTCAGCAACCAAGCTCTATTCATTATAATAGCATGATCTCTTTTAACGTCACCTGTAGGTGGAGCTTCAATAAAAAATAGTAAAATTTAGACATTTGAAATTACATTATTGCCCATCATATTTTTTGTGTGATAGAAAACTAATTTGTCTTTTCACCCTCTTTTAGTTGACAAAGAGGGTTTAATTAAATAGTAGAGATAATTACAATGAAATATATTATCAATATTTTTTTAAATGGGGTTTTTTGATATGGGTCCAAAGTAATTAAAAATTTGACCTATTTCAAAAGTCAAAAGTCACTAAAAATTGGACTTATTTCAAAAAGTGGCCTATAAAATTGGACCTATTTCAAATTTTCCCTTTTTAAATTATAAAAAATATATTTTTTAGCCCGACAAAAAATTATGTTGAGTAAAACATTATAATTTTTGTAACTTTTTGGTTTTACAAATTTGCCTCGCCACTTTTTCGTTGAGTTTTTAATATTGTTCAATTTAGTGCAAGGTGACAAAATATCTTGGTTAGGTCAAGATGGTCAACACACGTTTATATGACAACTATATTCGTCGGGATAACTCTGTTTCACGTGACGAAATTTTATATTTCATTAGGTGAGACTTCCAACAACGGATTTTGCTGGACCAATATTTCTAGATGAACTTCCGCCGGCTAAGGTATATGATAACAAAAACCACTTTGACTCGAAAAATTTTTTCTTCTAACAAGATGTTTTATTTAGTACACCATGTTGACAACCTTGGTTGATATCCATTCTTCTAACTTCAAGGTGGAAATATATGTGTGTGTGTGTGTGTGTGTGTGTGTGTGTGTGTGTGTGTGTGTGTGTGTGTAACAGCTGACTGCAATTCTTCATTCAACATACATGAATTATCAACAAGAGCGAGGCCAACTATTTGAATTTAAGCAGGTTTCCCATCACCTGAACGACTGGTATTCGAACTAAGAGCAGCTCCAACCCAGCTAAATAGGCTGGAACAAAGGCTGAAAAATAGGTTGGCACCCATGGAAAACCACTATAGCCGAACCAAATAAGCTAGCCCACAGCCCAAGCCAGCATATAGGCTGGCCCAAAATGTGTTGAGTGATGTATGGCCTATTTGATGTCATGCTAGCATTAGAATGACGTCAGTGAAGGTCCCAGATTTTTTGCTCAGGAAGAAGACTTTGAACATGAAAAACTTCTTTTTTTTTTTTTTCACAAGGTATGGATCATGGTTACAAATAGCAATCATGATTTTGTTGAACAAATTTCATTGCATTCTAAAACAACATCTAAAAATATGATCAAGGAATAAAATGTTGGAGATAAAATAATCTTCCAAGAGATCCTTACCTCTTCTTTCCCTCTTTCTATCCAAGTTTGAGGCACGTTTGGGTTTGGAGTGAGGCTTTATGCCTCCTATGTTCATCATCCTTATCCTCTTCCACGAAGAACGCCTCATTTCCATCATCCTCGAGATTGAACAATTCTCTTGTCCTGCCAACAATTTTTTTTTTTTTTTTTGCTAATCGATTTCATACAATCTCTTTGAAGAAAACATTGTAAGAACTCAAGATTTAAAAACGATGAAGAAAGATTCTGAGCTAGTTTGAGTTTGGTGTATGAATTAGGATGGATGTAGGGTTTATATGGACAAAAAAAAAAGAAAAAAAAAAGAAAGGATAAGGCTGTACATAATGCCATGTGGCATTACATGATTGGTTGAAAATCTTATCGAAATTTATTCTAAAGGATTGTA